GCCCGCTGTGAGCGCGGGCGTGCGCGCGCGCTTGCCGAAGCGCGGAGCGCCCGTTCTTAACTGAATATAACAAACATGTTGAGTGTACTTCGCACCTGCACACTTACAAGTGTTTGGAGGTTGAACACTTACTTGGTTTATCAGTGCAGATGTGGTTCTCTCGAAGACCTTTTTCGAAGACTTTTTATGACTTATGAGGTCACGATTCGTGCACTTGTGACCTCACTGGTGACCTCACAAGGGCAAAGAATCGTGACCTCAGAGGTCACAATGAGGTCTTCGTGAGAACAACGTTGTCCTTGGGAACGGGGGGGGGGGGGGGGCAGCATCTCGGCCCCGGTGCGGTGGCTTTGTAAAGCAGCACGGAGCTGGAGCAGGAATTCATTTTTGATTCGACGTCTGTTACCTCACTCGGATTTATGTAAGTCGATATTATGCTTTGATGAGAATCGCAAGAATTATGAAGAAGAGCTCAGCATTTGGTGATGTGATGATTCCTGGCGGGGTGACCCCTCGCTGAGGCTGAGGTATCTCGATGGGGTATCTCCACGGTCCGTTCAGTTCAAACTACGGGCCTTCGCCGCCCAGCCATCTTCATTCATACCAGGCAGCCAATCGCAGGCCTTGTCTCACTTTAACCGGAAAAAGAAAGAAGGAACACAATGCGGGTAGCAGCCGGCGTATGTTTTGACGTTTGATTTGCTCGAACCCTCATAACCTGACCCCGAGCACATTTGTTTTTAGCTTTTACTAATAATAACTAGGTCGTTTGCGCTTATCTACTGTTTTATCCAGCGCTTTCTTTTTTTGGGAACGCTGAGACATTCGTCGATTCACTCTTTCTTTGTTGAGGAAAGTGTTAAATCTGATAGCCAACGGTAGTCAGGCGGAAGCCTAGTTAACCGCTTTTACATTATCGACTGGTTCCACCCTTTAGAAATCGTGGAGTTTTATTATTGTACGCTAAGTCCTTGAGCAAGGTAAATCAAATTAATTCTATCAGTTCTCAGTTTTACTTTGTGGTTTTCATGTCTCTAAAGTAAATTTACTGTTCTTCAAAAAGCACCGACATTGTTTACCCTCAAGTTATCTTCATTACATATTTTTCTTTGAAATCAATTATTGATATTTTTAATAAGTGTCCTCCTTTGTGTTGTAGATGGATTTGGAGTGTGATGTCTGTTCTGTCAATTTTGACCTGGTTCAACACCGCCCAAAGAGTTTGCCCTGCGGACACACAATGTGTAAAGAATGCATTCAGAATCCTGACTTGGATAGGAAGTGTCCAACTTGCAGAAAGGTCAGTAGATCTAAAACTTCTCATAAATCATTTGGATTTTCATTAGTGCACATTTATTAGGTGTTTAACATACTCTAGTAGGGCCAGTGCAGTGATGCACATCAAAATGTGATTTAAAGGTCTCACATTTTTGGTATACTCAGTGCAAATTAGAGCGTAAAATGCAAATTTTATGTGCATATGCGTTTTAAATGTATTGAAAATGTGTGGGACATTTTAAGCACTTTCCGATGCGCACTGCAGCTTTTTGGGCACAGTGATGCCTCTTGTCGCTACTAGGGTAGACAAGGAAACAAGTACTAATAGTGCTAAATTCATACTTCTTTTTTGTTTTTGTGTCATTGATTTTTTTCTAGTGATAATTTTATATCAAGCCCACTGCAGTTTGTGGTGCTGAGGGAAAAGCAAGTAGGGTCAGTTTGGCGGGAAATCTTATACCACTTTCCTGCATGCCATAGTCTTATAAAGCGACTCCTGCATCTTTCAACGCTCAGTGTTGTTCTTGTTACTTCTGCTCAATGCTCCCTTGAAATACCCTTAGAGTGTTTTTTAGCCCGCCCTTCTGCTTTTAAAAAAGCATTAAAGCGGGCTTATGCAAC